AAAAAAAAAAAAGAAAAGAAAAGAAAAGAAAAATATTAAACAATAGCACACGCGATTGATGGATTTAGAAAAATTGTGAAGGTGGTGTATGCATAAAGTTTAGGCAGTTATAGAATAATGAATGGTGCACTATGTGTGCACACACAGTGGGGTGTGTGTGTGTGTGTGTGTGTGGTGGGGGCTTTGAAGATTATGGCATCAGCTGGTAAAATTGAGGGTGGAGAGGTTACCCTGTAATAGTCACAACTTAAACCTTTGAGTTAAATGTATCATAGAAGAACTAACCATAAGAATGCTGATACCCTAAGAATAACATTTTCTGAACATTTACCATGTGCCAGGAAATGTTCTAAGTCCTTCATGTACATCATCTTGTTTCATCTTTATAACAACCCCATTTTACAGGGGAGGAAAAGGAGATACACAGGTTAAGTATCTTGCCCAAGATGGACTCAGAATTTTCCCCCAGATGGTGTGACTCTGTGGAGCCCCTTGGCCACTGGGCTGTATCTAAATGGAAAGGACCTCAAAAGTGAATTCAGGAACACATATGCCAATCACATGCTCACCATCTTCTTCTAGAATTTACAGTAATAATGATGACATCCCCTCTGAATTCACACCTGCCATCAACTTTGAAGAGACAAAGGCCAGGGAAAGAATTTAACACTGGAGACAAAGGGAAAGAGGAAAAGGGAGGCTTATTTGCCCATGAAGCTACCAGAGCACCTAGGACTTTAATGAATGGACAGATTCTGCTCCAACTCATCTCTCAGAGCTCAAGGGACATATCTGTAGCATACTCGGATTCAGGGGTTGCTCCTACATCATCTGTCAACTGGGTCAGGGTTTTTTCTTTTCTTTTTCTTTCTCAGGCTTTTGAAATAAAACACAAAGTGATCAGCAACCCCATAGACACAGAATGCTCAGAATTCTCAGCCTGAAGCAATCTTCCTGAAAGTGTTTACATGTCCACTAACTAATGCAGAAACCATTAGCTGCCAGCTTAGCACCGCCCTGACCTTTCCCTTGTTAAGACTACAGGGGAAAACTGCAAAGACAAGGCCTATAAATTCAAAACAGAATTTTGCTGCCCAAGCAGCAAACACATTAACTTTAAATTCAAGGCTAGAGATGGAGATTTTTAAATGGAGAGTGAGGAAGATGTAAGACTTCTTCCTCCTCGTCTGCCCAACCACAGGTTTTAAAGGAATCTGTTTCCTTTTCTTCTGAACCTGTTCCATCAACAGAGGTAAAAAGCCTATAAGCCATCTACTTTCAAATTCTCATGCAGAAATGAGAGGCTTTCTTTCAAATATGTTGCCTCCGTGACCTTAAATGGATTAGCATGAGAGGAACCAATGTACAATGTACTTACAAAGTCAATCCTAAGTGAACTGGGTTTTCCTTTTTAGTTCATTTAAGAAAGATTTAGCTACCATATGAAAGCTCAACTCCTTTAAAATTAACAAATATGCTGGTCAGGCATGGTAGCTCACCCCTGTAATCCCAACACTTTGGAAGGCTGAGGCAGGTGAATCACCTGAGGTCAGGAGTTCGAGACCACCCTGA